GCACAGGGCTGCTGGTAGAGAGTTGCATGCAGAGGGCTGTTCTCGTTTCTATGGCCGTATAAGTGCACGGCTTCTAGTGCGAGTGCGTGGCTTAGTTTTAAAGCCTGATTTCCCTCAAAATATACTTCCAATTTTTAAAAAAAATAAAAAATTTAAGAAGAGTATTTTTAACCCCTTGCCGCCCCCACGGCCCGCCGGCGGGACGTGACCACTTTCCAAACACATTACAGCCATATGTGCTCGCTCCACAATCAAGTTTCCCAACAATATACACATCAAATGAAAGCTCAGAGTCTCCTCTTTCCGATGATATAAACCTTTTTGACCTGCAGCAACCACAGCGTTGACACAAAGAGCTTTTTGTACAGAAAAGCAAAATGTTAAAATCCGAGTTTTCTTACTTTCGAAGGCTCTCTGCAGCTCAAACATCGCTCATTCCTCACCAGCTTGGTCTCGTTCTGTCCAGACAGAACCAGTGAACATAATCCCGTAAAATAATTCGGTCCGTGAAACGCAGTAGATCCTCAAAGGCACAAATTCTGATAATGTAATGTCTTCCCAGCTTGAGATCAGCTTGATATCCAGAATCTGATCGGCGAATCTCTAATATATATATGATGTACACAACATACATGGAATTTGTTTCCGGCTGTTGATGGTGGTGTTGGAATTAGCGAGAAAAAGAATAACAATAAAGTAAAATAACTATGGAAAAAAAAAATAAGAATGAAAATAAAATAAAATAAATAAATAAATAAAATAAGATGAGATAAATATATAAAAGAATATACACATCTAGCAGAAAAAAATATATGTACAGTGGTGCAAAAAATGGAAGTGCAAAAAAAAATGTAAGTAGTCTGCAGTGTTATGGCGAAGAATGGGTCAGCTGTTCAGTACAGTCATGGCAGTGGGATAAAAGCTGTTTTTGTGTCGGGTAGTTTTACCAGAATACTGAACTGCTGGAAACAAATTCGTTTGTTTACTCTTTCTTTATTTATTCAAAGCACATATTTGTTTTTGTGACAGCCCTTCCTCCATGTAACATTCTATATCCACCTGCTCTATGCAGGGTGATTGTAAGAAAATGAAAAAACAAAATAAACACACACACACACACACACACACACACACACACACACACACAAAACAAGTGTTGTGATCACTGACAAACAAGTTAGAAAACCTGTCATTGCTGAAACACAACAATGTACACCCGTAATTTCCAGTCAACCTAACTACATGTGGATATGAAGCTGCATGAGAGCAATACATGCAAAATATGTTGTCTGACTTGCCATGCCCAACAGAATACTTTTGGAATATTTGAAAGAAAAAGATCAGCTGAAAAAAATAATGCAGAAATATGGTGTCCTCCACACTGAGGAGGATTCACTTTATATTTTAAATCCCATTCTGTAGCCACATCATAAAAAATGTAAATTATTACACCCCGTTGTAAATAAACCTATGCAGGCTCTTGGTTTTCAGCAACGTTACCTCGTTTTGTGTGTACAAGCCGGACCAGGTACACAACACCTTTCACTACACATTATACCATGTACAGCCATGCATGTAACAAATTTGATTTGATTCTGTCGTCCAAAAGTTAAGTGATATTGCACAGGGGTGTGCTCACTCATATACTGTAAATCTCAGTACTGAAAAAGAATTTGACCTTGGGAGGGCTACTTTTCAAAGTTCAACACCATGAGAGTCACGTTAACTCTTTCATGCAGTCACAAGGCCCTCCCACATGTAACATCCATCAGGAATACAAAACACACATACAATGATGCACACAGACTATAAATGGCCAGAATGCAGAAAGGGTAGCCTTTAATCACATGGTGTTTCTTTTCAGTTTCTGTGATGATGGATTAGGATGTCATGTGATTCCATGCCAGGCTTACAATAGTTAAAGATATGAGTGTTGACTTGGTGTGTGTGTTGGCTCACTGAGGGCTGTGGTAAAACTTCATTCCACACATTCCCAACCTGTTGGGTAGCTTGAACCAAAGAAACACTTGAAACCACAAACCTTTTTTTTCCCTACAAATTCAGGAAAGGTGTCTTGCCCCATTGTTTTTATACTCCTTTATTGATATTTAAGTTTACACATTGACACAAAGACTTATCAACAAAGCAGCTATGCAACAAAAATTACAGAGAAAGGAGCAATGGCAACCTAAAAGCTTGAGAAGAACAGGTACCACAATCCTCTACATACACAACAAGGCATTTAGGATCACTAGGCACTGTTCATGTACACACAAAGATGTGTTCAGTTAATATCCTCTGTTTAAGTATATATGCCTACATTTAGTTAGCACAATATGAAGCATTCACTGCACAGTCTTGCTATACACATAACTTGACATTTTCCTTCATGACATAGCATAAATGGCACTATATTCGGTAAACAGAGTCTTCTCAGTGTTGCTGTTTAAAAAAAAATCCAATTTAAAATATCTTTACATAGAAAATATAGCAGAATATATGTCCACCAAAAGATTAAACAAGGCTAGTAAAATTCATTCCTTCAAGAAACCAACCAAGAAATCCAGCGTGCAAAAACTCACAACTTGACCAACTTGTTCTAAAAGCTACAACTTACAGGTAAATATATATATTTTTGTATTTTTTTATTACATAAATAATTTGATTATCAAATGTGTATGAGAATCTACTTTGTAGATAAAGAGATAGTCCAACACTGCAAAGTGTCAGTAAAATGTAAGGTGTGGCTAGTATTAAGACAGCTAGAGACAAAAAGTAGAAACCTGACAGTGGGCTTTGATCAAAGTCACTGTTGGGTGACGGGCTGTCCAAGTACAATGTAGACATGTCATCAGTCTGCCCATATTCTTCCCTTGTAGAGACAAAATAGCCTTTAACTACATTAAGATTCACAATAACAGACACACAGCTCATGCTCCTTTTACAAATGGACAGATGGGCCAGAAGTAGGTAAGATAAATCAAAATGGTAACTGGTACATTCTGGGACATGCAGGCATATTGGTTTGCGGCATAGCTGGGACATTAAGTAAACCTAAAATACCAATATTTCCATTTACACTGTGTCCCAGACATGGCACTAAACAGAGACAATATCCTCAAAGGCTCTCTCATAAACACAAAATAACAGTATTACCTTAACAAGGTGTGTGTGTGTGTGTGTGTGTGTATATATATATATATATACACACACACACATACACACACACAATTTTTTTTTTTTAGCAGCTTATAGAACATTGCATTCATCATTTATCCCCAGACATGAAAAACAACTCCACTGCCAAATTTGTTTTCCCTCAATCACTGTTTAACATACAGCAACAAGATTTATTAACTCAACATGTCTGTTTAGAAAATGTATGCATTTTGAACCTCAAAACTGATCAGTGTCCACTGAGAGTAACAAATATTGTGGCAATGACAGAATCCTTCACATATACAGTATGACAGTATGTATTCAGGATGCACATAGAAGATAACAGCCCTGTGCACAGCTACGTCAGTACACAATGGAGCAAAGAAGGGACTGCACAAAATAATCAGTGCTTTGCAGTTAAGTAGAAACTGGTGCTGGGTGTGTTTGTGCAATTTTGTTTTCTTCCTTCAGTTGGTGTGGAGCGTTTCTTCTAGAAAAAATACTGAGATGACGAGATGTTTAACTTAGGAGCCTGTCTCAGTGCTGTGTGCAAATGTATATATGTATAGAGAGAGAGAGAGGAATAATAACTGGTATGTTTTCCCACAGTGCAGCTGTACTGTGCTGTACACATACTGGCATGGTACTGAAGGATTTTCCATTATGTTTGATGTACAGTACAGCTTCCTTCAAATAGAGAACTATGCTGGGAAGGTACCCATGTACTGACATAAACACCCATACACAGTATTTGGGAGAGCCACTTTCCAAAGTAGCTGGCAGTAATGTTACCAACACAGAGGTGCCCTACAAGCTGCACACACTACTGCTCAATATTCCAGTGGAAACACCAAAGGGCACTGACACCGTACCATAGCAGGTTCAGTATGGGGACAGCACAGTACTGTATATAACCGTGTTAGGCTTATTATGGGTACTGCATGACATTTGGACACAGTAAAAGGCCAGCAGTGAGCTCAATAGAGCGCGCTGTCGTTGTAGGAGCTGGAGCTGGGGAAGGTGGGACAGGGTTTGTTCCATGGTAGAGTGCCAGAGTGGTCTGCTGTGGGGAGGCTGAGGGTGCTGGCGCTCTTCAACTTGTTCTTCAGACCCCAGCTGAGGAAGGATGACTTCTTGGTTACTTTGCGGGACTTGGGATTCTTGTCATCATCATCATAGGCCAGACAAATCATGGAGTAGGTCTTCGGTAGGTTTCCACAGAAGGTCGCACTCTTTGTAGGCTGGTAAGAGACAAAGATAATGGCATTTAGTGGACGCAGGCAGTGCTTCTTTTATCAGAGTTGCTTTCTGCGTTGTACCCGCCTCTCTTCATCTGTTGTCTCAAGCAATGTCTCACCTACGGCAATACCTGAATGCTTACATGTCACAAGTGACAGCCTTTCAACATTGAAGGATAAAGGTTGAAAAGTTCTTTTTATTAAACATAAATGAAACAAAGTAAAAGCATTTTAAAGGTGTTTTGTATTGACGTTTGTGTTATTCTGAATTTTGACACAAAAACTCCAAAGTAAGTCCTTTCTAAATGTTGTATGTATACTGATTCCAAATATTGGTTGTAATTCTTCTTCATGACTAATAATCATTATTGGCCTTGAAAGAAACACATTCATCAAACCCTAAATATCCAAAATCACAGCAGACTATTGTGAAGCAGTTGTGCCCGTTATAAAATATGCCGGAGCTGGACCACATAATATACAATATATTCCGGTCGTCCCCACCTGCTTCTTGAGCTGTAGAATTGAGTAACATGCTACGTAATCTCTCATAAAGCAAATATCTGATTTGGTATTTACAGCGGATCCACAGCTTTTTCATTGCTTATTCTTTCCAACACATTCATGTCACAATAAGGATGGTTTTAGCTCTTTGTCTGAACTGGCTAATGAAGCACTTCACTCACAGTCTAAATATAAAACACAGCATGTAGGTCATGTCCAAGAGCCTGTTTCTCACAGGAAATGAAACATTGATAGGAAACACTACCTCTAAGAGAAATCTGAAACTCTAACAGTGCTGTTCAGTCATCTGATACAAAGGCCAAATTTGCAGTCACCATTTGTCAATCAAACAAAGCTTACAGATATCCTTTCTCTAAATACAATGGACAGAAATGTGACATGGTATACCATTGGAGGGTTGGTGTCCATCATGCTGACCACCTGGATCTCAATTCCCTCCTCGTCCACATCCTTAAGAAGTCGCATCACCTCACTCACACCCATCCATTTGCATTCTGTGTCACCCACAGTGACAATGTAATCCCCCTCTTTTAGCCCATCAGCCTGGAAAAGACATGGGAAAGAACAGGAGTCAGAGAGCAAGGCATCCTGATACTGCTGCAGATGAGGCAAATATTTATAGAGTGTTTTATTTGAACAGCAACCAGGTCATGTTCACCTAATTTCCTTCAACACCCTAGAGGCTGCAAGGATCTTCAGAGAAAACATTGAGGTTAGTCCCAAACAAAGCTTTTTTTACAGCAGACAAAACACATGGCAGAGTGCACCAGAGCACATTATTTCTCTGGGAAATCTGTCTGATCGACATGATTTCAGCTATTTCTGTCTGATAACTTGATCCGTGTTCGCCCCAGGCAGGTCAGCAACTCTGGAGAATCAGTTAGTTCTAAATAAAAATCCTGTTGAAAGCAGTATTAAAAGTTCTAAAGAGTTTGGCCTAGTTAGGCTTATGCAATTCTAATCTGTTTCTCTGCATAGCCTGCAGGGCCTAATAACAGTCTGCTCTTTGTAAGCACCTCCTAATGAGCTGTCAGACTGCAAAGGATTGTAGAGGGTAAATACTTTCTGATTCTCAATTAAATTAGAAGCCAAAGTGGCTGAGGAGGAGGAGGAGGAGGAGGAGGAGGAGGAGGAGGAGTTGGGAAGAGCCTCTGAGGCTGAAACCTGTTTGGGTTTCTGAGAATCACTTTATTTAATCAAAGGTTAACAGAGGAGATAAGACTTTGTAATGTGAACTTATTCAATGTTCTTTATGCAAGCACGCCTAAAATTTCAAGCTGTTAGTTTTCCCACTGTAGATAAAGCCACTCCTTGCCAGCGAATTCTTTTACAGGGAGTAAACAATGACCAACCTATGCATCTGGTATGACAACAATCCCTTCTCTGCTCTGGGTGTAAAATTGCAGATGCATGTGGAGGTGCACCAGTTAATTAAAATACGAATAATATTTTATCAGTTTAGCCTAGTTTACAAAAAGGCACAACTGTACAAAAGGCTTTGCCTGATTTGTTCTAGTAACTACAAATTGCATTCCAGATCTATGATAAAAAAATTTTAAAAAATCTAGTTTACGCTTACTGTCAAGTGTGACTGATTACCTATATTGAGATCATTTCCTATCTCTGCAGTCTGATTGCTAGATAGTACCATACTTACATTAATTGAAACCAGAGCTTGGTGGTGATATAGAAAATTAACCTTCACTTGTTCAGTTAATGGTGAGGAACATAGTTGAACTCACAGCAGCTGGACAGAGGGGGTCCAATGAAACCACCTGGACTGGTGACTCTCCTTTCAGGGTGAAACCCAGGTCTCTGTCTTGAGGGCGAAGCTGTATTGTCCGTGGGGCTGTCCACCGCTGCTTGGCTGAGAACACTGACAGCGGGCCCTGGTGGACATAGTGTGGGGAAGCCAGGGTTAAAATAGCTACAGGTTTTCTGGACTCGAAAGGATAATATCCTGTTGAGTCTGAATTTGTTGAATGCCTGAGGGAAACCTGAAAATTAACTACGATGGTCCCTTCTGGCAGCCTTGCTCACATATGTTATTAGTAACCTCAGTAACCTCAAGACAAGCATTGTCCTCAGAGATACATTCATGGATATTATCACCCCAATACAGAGGTAGTACATGAAAGGTGACCATGAATCATATTTAAATGACCTCTCTTTCTCACACCAGACCTTCTGGGTGGCCAGGTTTCTGAAATTATTTTAACAGGCCGGTTACATTCCCCTTAAAGTCAAACAAGCCTTCGTGTGCTCTACAAACAAACCAATTCACATGAAAAACATTCTTAACATTACTCATATTCTCATGAATGCTGGGCTGTAGATAAATTATAGCAGGAAAATGTGAATCCCCCAAAATTATCCACATTTATGCATAAATATGTTCTAAAATCTGGTCTGATCTTAATCAAGTAGGGGTAGCCATCTGCCATCAAAACTCTATACAATCTGGGGGATGCAGGAAGATGACACTAAAGCCTAAATAGATCTACTTGAGAATGACTTCAAAATATGTCTTTTGTAGTGGCCCAGTCAGAGGTCAGACCTCAACCCAACAGAGATGCTGTAGGATGAACTCAAGAGAGCCAGACATCCTAAAAGCATTGCTGAACTAAATCAATTCTGCATGGACGCATGGTTCAGAATCCCTCCTGAACATTGTGCATGTCCGATACAGTTATTAAGTCCAACTGTTCACTTACTTTTGCAGCCAGAACTGTGAATGTTTGATGTTTGTCTAATAGAAATTAAAACAAGAACCACAGAGGTCTTTATTCTCAGTGATCATTTACAACTGCTGCCTGGAAACATCAGCTCTGTCCCTTGACTTCCTTGGGAATTATTTGCTTTTAAGAGCTTTGGTCTCGAAACTGATGCCTGTTTGAATGTCTCTGCTGGTCTTCCTTTCCACCCACCACCACAATAAAATTAACAGTACAGTAACATCACTTCATGCATTCAGTATGAAAGATCCCAAAATGAATCAAACTAACTAAATAGTTACTATCGAGGGAATAAACTTTATGCTTCAAAAGTCGACCATAAACCTCCAGGTAAATTCAAACATTCAACAAAGATTTTGGTAGAGTTTTTTTTCCCCTTAAATTATATAACGTAAAATTGAACTATATAATGTATAATATATATTAATTTGTAATTTTCCCATTCTTTTCATCTGCCTCAGAGTAGAGGTGAAGCCAGAGTACCGCTGTCCATGGTTAGTGTTAGTTTTGCATTTGCTGCTTTGGATGAAAGTCCAGGAAGCTTTGGAACAAGAGAAGACTTTGAATATGCTGGTGGTCAAATATACCAAAGCTTTCGGGAGCCTCAGCCATGGTTGGTTATCTTCAGAAATAACATAAAATATACCCTGGGTGTTCAAAAAATAAAGAGTACAATTGCAATGCCTAAAACACAAATCCAGGGCCATTTCATGTCACTTAATGAATATGCCAACCACCATGAATAAAAAAATAGTGAGTGGAAGAATATTAGTAGCCCACATACCAGCCTCTGGAAAAAGTCGATCACTTTCACCTTTGTAGTTGCAGGAACTTCCATCTCTGCTTTGTGCTCTGTTTTAGCTATGGTAAGAAAGCAAGAAAAACAAAGCTGTCATTCAACAAGTTTACTGTCACAACCACATTTCAACTGTGGCCTGCAGAGAGGCAAGCAGCGTAAACATTGCATCATCCATCACTTATCATAGTTAAGTGCAGCAGGTGTGGTACACAACACAGCAGCCTTTTGTGAACGGTTTCCTGAGAGACAAACCTCCCACATCAACATATTGGTCTTAGGCAATAGTGTAATTTATAAAGTGTTTGTTGTGGTGACACTAAGGAGACCGGTCAGTTTCTATGTCAACTGGAGGAAGAATAGCTCTCACCTCAGTCACATTTAATGGAAAAGCCAATAAACTTTAAAAGTGTTCAAATCCTGTCTTTGCTTCTCATATTTTTTCAGAGAGGATATTTTCATTGATCGTAGGTTGTCTTTAGACTCACAGATGATGTCTGGGGCCTCCATGTAGTCAGTGAACTCTTCCTCATTTTCATGTTCACTGAATTTGTTGAGCGAGCGCTGGTGACTGGCTTTTAAAATGTCCTGCAGAACCTCCAGCTCGGTCAAGTTGTGGCACAAACTATAAATCCTCAGAGCCTCCTCGTGACCCAAGATGGCCCGACGAATGTGAGCTTTACCTGGAGAGAAGCAGTCACAGAATAATTAGGAGAGGAGGGTCGCCAAGATGAATAAAGAGAGTTGTGTCTGGTGTCATGGCACTCTGTGTCCTGTTCTCTTGTTTTGCCCTATGCAGTGCTCTGGCTCTGTGCTCACTCTTACCAATGCGTTCACGTTCATCTTTCTTCTTCAGGATGTCCAGAGGAGAGCGTCCTTCAGGGAGCCGGTCATACACCTGTGACAAGGTCTTCTCCTGCTGGTCCTCATCGTCACTGGGACTCACTGAACACACAGTGAAATGAAAAATCAGTGACTGAGTAAATGTTTTTATACAATATAGAGATAAGCCAGTGTCCACAGAAAAATATGCAAATGCAACATTACTGTATTTGTCAGTTCAAGATTCCACATCAGCATGGACCATAAGAGAGAATAATCTACACAAAATTTGATGGTTATGTCCTGACTAATTAGGCCTATCAAAATGGAAACCCTCCTAAAACTCAATTTGTTCTTGTAAGCGCTTCTCCTTTTCTTCATCTCCTGGTTTAATAGATTTTAAAAGGTAAATTTAAAGCATCAAAACTTTTCACGTGTTTATATTAAGTATCACAGAGACAGTATAAAGCCTGAATTCGACAGTGTTTGTAGTTAATCTGTTTACTACAGCAATCTTCGTTCAGTCCTGTTTCTAGGTTAAGTCCTCTCTCTACAGTTCTGTGCTTAATTGCTCTATTCTCCTCATTCACGCAGGAATCTGTTAATGAGCTGCCACATTCAAAGCTGCTTTGCTCTGTTGTCCCTCCATTCTGTCCTGTCCCATTCACAGAACTATTTCCATTCACTGTGCAGCTTAATGTATTTGATATACCTCAGTTAATTTTGTGTTCAAGTTAGTATCTTTAAATGTACAACTGTACATGAAATATAAAAGGTAAAAGGTAACAGTGTATGGCAGTAGAAAGTTGCTTTATACACTCAGTATAAACAGATAGGAAAAGAAACTATAATTCCTTTTTTTAAATAAATGATTAATCCTGATGTCTAAAAGATATCAGAATTACTAACAAGTCATCGTGAATACATCACTAGCAGCCACATTACTACCAACATAGTTTTTGTTCACTCACAAAACAAAGTTCCCTTCCTCTCTCTCAGTTGTTGGCTCCCTCGCTTGCTCCCTTTGCCAATTGATTATGTGGACAGTATTAGAAGGCTGCATAACTGTAATCTTCCAGCCATCTTCAGTACAGTTTTACTGACTCTAACCACCTTTTCTTCCTGCCTTAAATTCTTATGCTGTCTTTTAACAATCTGTCCATCACAGTTCCAGGAAACACAGCCTCTCTTTACCACGGGGTTTGTAAGAAAGAGTGGATCCCTAAATAGCTCTTATGTAACAGCCTTGGGGCAGGCTGTGGTTCAGTCCAGTCATCTGACATGACCAACCTAGTGGCCCACACAGCACTTTTGTGGAAGGTTCAGGTATTGTAGGGTGTTCAAAATTAGGCAGCTTAAGTCCTGCAAAACTCATCCTAGAAGTGATTTACACCTCAACAGGCAACAGCCAGGATAATACCACAGACCAAATACATTATAACTTACAGTAACTGTTCAGGTGCAGGAGAAGGTTGTCTATAGAACATACAGTTGTCCGAAGCACAGTCATAGTGCACTGTCTTTGTCAAAAGAGAAGTGGGACAATATTTGATTGATGACATCTAAATAGAATTAATGGCAGTGGGTGACAGCTGTCAGCACATTACAATGCACTATACCAGAGTCCTGTTCTGATAACAGGTTGTGCAATGTAGCTTCAATCTGGAATGTGTGGACTGTGGGAGAAAGCTGGAGAACCCGGAGAGAACCCACGCTGCACAGGGAGAACATGCAAACTCCACACAGAAAGATCCCAGGCATCCTAACCGGGATGAACCAGGGATCTTCTAGCTGTGAGGCGACGGTGCTAACCACCGAGCCACCTTGCAGCCCATAAAATCTGTAATCCCTGTGAAAAACATCACTTTTCCATAAACAGTTTGTCTTACACTGATGGTCCAGCAGTGCAGAGGCTACAAAGTAGTGTGCCATGGAGCGGTAGTGGTTGGCTTTGACTTGTGACATGGTGGACCAGAACAACGGGACATTGTCTTTGATTGGGGTCTGGATCATGGACTGATGGACTTGGTCGTAGATTTCTGAGACCTGGCAGGAAAATGAGGAAAGAGTTACTGCAAGGTCATTAAAAGCACCTATATGGACAAAATCACTAGAGAAAAAAAATGAGGCATTTGACTGTGGTGACATTCTCAGTTTACATTCACTTTAAGTACAGTATATCCTACCCAGTCTTCAGCAAAAGAAAAAGTACTTTATCTATAAGATGTGAGGACTGTGTCTGTGTGCCTTTGCTGCTATTTACCTTTGCAGCCTCTTGGGCCATTTTCATCAGGGAGTAGAACTGGTTTCGGATTCCAGGCAAAGCGGTCTTCTCAAACAGACACTCCTGAGCCTGAGCAAGCATCATTCGAATCAGCATACTGAGCATGGCTGGACTCATGTCGTAGCTGGGAGTGTGGGTGAAAGTCTCCTTAAGGTGGTTCAGTATACCTGAGAGGGAAAGTGAGGTCAGCACAGCTCAAAACCAAGGAAATAAGTATCATAGTTGTTATTTAGTTCAGTTGAGAGGTTACTCATTTTCTCTAATCAAAGGTATGGAAATAAAGACTTTTAAATCAGTATAAACAACAGACATGTAGCCTAGGATAACCTGCATCCTATTTAGCTCCATGAGAACAAAAATAATTGAATTACTGCTACTCTGCACACTAAGAATGTTATTTGTGATTCTATTTTGATGCCTGCAGGAAGAAATTCTCTTTTCTCTTTGCCAGTCCTAAGTCAGGGTCAGCTACACAACAAAGGCCACTTCCATGTAATCCAAGCACAATCTGTCATTTACATCTGAAGGCATAATGATAACTTAAAAACAGAACTACTGCAGTTTGGTTTTTGGTCACATGTCAATGTGAGTTGAGGTCAATGGGAAGGGCAGAGGTTATGAGGGAGATTGTATTGCTGCATGCTGTTGAGCCCAGACCTATGAATGTAGCTCCTTAACATGCAACAAGCTACTCTGACAGCAGCAGCGCTACCAGTAGTTTGATAGAATAGTTAGTGGTTTGGGCAACAGTGAATTTTCATGGGACGAACTCCAGTTTGGAAGAGGGAGATACTTTGCTGTTTTACAAGTGGTAGATGTGACTCCGCTGGTACTTTGACCTTTATCACTGACACTCTCTTATACAGATGTTCTAAAAGGCTTCACACAGACAGCTCAGTAATGACCTGTTGCTGCTTTTACAGTGCTCGGTAAGGGGAAAGGCTTATAACTAAGTGTGAGATCAATGTCTGTGTGCGTCTTTAAAACTGAGCCAAGATATGAACCTACTTAACTTAGTTTTCATGTTCAATAGGAGCAATAACACATCTGCTTTGTGATTCAGAACACCTGCCACTTATTTTTTTAGATTAAAAACCTGGCAACAGAGAGTTGGAGACAACTTAATAACAGAGCACTGCCTCACTCATCTCCATCTCAGATTTTACAGTTGCCAGCTGACTCCTCCCATCTATACATCTTTGGGTTCCTGGCTAAATAGGCCGACAGCAGTTTTATTGCTAGTATCAATGCTTTTTACCTCCCAACTACTGGCTCTTCAGAATGGTGACAATGTTCCCCATAAATGTATAACAGTATAATTGTTTTACTTCATACAAACCTAAATTATAGCCATTAAAGCAACATAACTGAAGCCATGTTCAGAGCTGTAATTATAGTGCAATGCTGCCCATATTGCCAAGTCATAATTCTATCAAGACTTGTCTGAGCTTCTTGAAACCTTTGAGGGTTGGGAGGCCAGTTTATATGATTGGTGCTTTCTGGCGCTTGGCCACTTGACAACAAGCCACAGAAACATCATCTGAATTCATTTTCCGTCATGGAACAGAAGTCAGAGGGTGGAGGCTGGCTTTTCCGAAAATAAGGCTGTGTTTGCATTAGTATTTTTTTCTCAAACTTGTGTCATTACAGAATGTCTGCAAGCTTAAAGGAAGATGTTTAGTTTGACTAAGCCACTGTGCCTTGGCTCTCTTTGGGTCACAGTTATTATTTACATAACACATTTTAATAGCAAAACTATTAAGGGAAATTGTTGATATGGCTGTTCATTATCCATTCTCTTGTCTTTCTTGTACCTTCTCTCTCCGTTCAAAGCACTTATCATAGGTGACAGTTTCTGTTAATGTGAACATTTTAGTTACTCATTTTTACTTTATTTTAATTTACTGAATCACATGTGATCACACATAAACCTGGTTTTAAGCATAGACTGTATAAAAGATGGACGTAGCTTCCGTGACGTCACCCATTGGTTTCTGCACTGAGAAAATGAAGCCAGGGTTTTGCTACTTCCTGGTTGACATCTTTTTGGAGCCAGTGACGCAAAAATCGTCGGAGGGGGGCGGAACCATAGGAGCAGCGATTGGTCAGACGGATTGAGAGGCAGGCCCTCTCGCCCACCCACATTTACCACCTTCTGCTCGCTTCATCTGTATGGTCACTGCCGACTGTCAATCAAGCCAGCCACGCCCCTTACCCTGCAAAATGTTGATGATTTTTTAAAAATTCAGTATTGATTTATTTTCAGATTGGCCACCTGATCTCTGGACTTGACAATGAAAACTAATAAAAAAAAAATCCTGAGCTTGAGGAATGCAGTATTTCATGATCTGTGATCACTTCTTTTCCAATTCATTTCTATGGGAGCCAGGGCTTTTTGGAGCCAGGACTCGCGGACGTAGTGCTATTGCAGGTTTTTGACACTTCCGGGTTGGCTTCATTTTTCGGGGCCAGTTGCTACGTCCATCTTTTATACAGTCTATGGTTTTACGATAAAGACATCTTTAAATGTTGGAAATAGTGCAGGCTGGTGGGAGAGGAACTGTCTGAACCAGTTTATCACTCCAATCTCTGTATACCTGCAGCTTTCTGGAAGGAAGATATAGCCTCCTCCAGGCCTGATATTGTCTGTCGGTCACTTCGGGTGCCAATCTGAGAGTAGAGGGCGGCCATGTTGAAAAGGATGCTGGCCTTCTCAAGTGACAGGTTCTGTTGGCATACTGGCACTCCTGTGAAGGAGTCATACCTGAGGGAAAGAGGCAGGAGTCATTGCTATTTATGATTATAAGGAAGGTAAGAAAAAAAAAAAAAAACACAAAGTAACACAATATTTACAGAAAAACTTGCGCAGTAGAACTTGTGCAGGTAGATACAGAAAGAGTAAAAGAATCTTTGTCATAGTTTTTGTTAACTTTAAATCAGTGCATACTACACCATAGTACCCCATTTCTGCTTTCTTCTCTTTATTGTTTTTGCTTGACAGCTAACGGTGTCTGAAGGTTTAAGCCTTTAAGCTCATCTTCCCACTCATCTACATCTCTGCTACATGAATGAAGTCCATTTACTACGACGTTAGTTAGAAGTCACAGTCGTCACTTGGATGCTTCTTAGACACTTTCTTCATTTTGCTGGATGTTGCCAAATTTCGAGTGAATGACAGTTTGCTCCACTTGATTCAGTAGTTTCAGCATTACAGACTCATTTGATAACAATAACATCCAAGACGCTTTTGGAAAATTATTTGTGTGTACTCTCCCACAAGGTCCAAAAACATGTTGAGATTAATTGGTGATTCTAAATTGTCCGTAGGTGTGAATGTTGAGTGTGTATGGTTGTCTGTCTCTAAGTGTAGCCCTGTGATAGACTGCTGACCTGTCCAGGGTGTCCCCTGCCTTCGCCCTAAGTCAGCTGGGATAGGATCCAGCAACCCCCCCCCCCCCCCCCCCCCCCCCCCCGCGACCCTAGGGAGGATTAAGCGGTGTATAGATAATGGATGGATGGACGGATTTCTGTGTACTTCACTGTGACCCCTTTGTTTACACTTGAGTGTGAAACATCCAAAAAATTCCAAGTCATGCCATTCTCATCTTTTCCTCACTACACAGAATTTCTCTTACACTTAGAAAAACATGTAAAAAAAATGCAGCAGGAAGGGAAAAAGCTGCTGTCAAAACTAGTCTTTTTTATTAATCTCTGACATGAGCCTGTGAGTTTTCTGGCAGAGATATAGTAGCTGATTAATGGTTTTGGAGGAGGGGGTTACAGACTCTGGAAAATCCCTGGAACAAGAGCTCACAGCAGCTACATTAGCCACTTTCTTTATGATGGCTTTGCTTGTTACCTGTCAACCCAATATCACCTGATGTCTTTCTGTAAGGACGTAATGAAGTTAAGGCATACACACTTGTTACTTCTTTAGTCCATTGTTTTCATAAAGAGTTCATTATTATTACTGCAGTTGCTAATGAGAAATAATTGATGTGTACCAAGTGAAGAAGATCCCGGTCTGGTGGGTTGGGGAGAAGAATCGGCTCTCGATCAGTGGGAGATGACTGTAGTATTTTGCAAGCAGCTCCACCCCAGCCTCATTTCGACTTGGCGTTCTGCATGCCTAGAACATCCAAGAAAAGAGATCTACAGTTTACAATGTGCAGTAGAGATGTAGTGGGGATGCACATTGCAGTTGTTCAAATATGTTTAAAGGATCAGTTCACCCACCTGGCAGTTTTTTTGTTTCATTGCAATAGTGCCATTTTACTGTACGTATAGGTTAAATTTTATGTACTTAAGTTTTTAGATATTAATAGCATTAATTAATATAGCAGCTGTGATTTTTTATTGTTCTGCTCACAGCAACACTCCTGTTGCCTGGACAATCCAGAGTTACACTGTTTCTGGAAAGACTGAATGCCATTTTGCAGGTTTAATTTAAAATGTTTTGAGCACTGCATACTGTAAAAAAAAATAAATAAATAAATCATTTTGCCTAAACTGTATTTGGGTGGTTGCAGAAATGTCAACACTCAAGACAAATAAAGCTGAAACCAACTTTGGGGCTATGAAATGCTCAAACTTCCCAAGACAAAGTGCTTCATGTTGCTTTGTGTTGTACAACATTTTATAAATGCTGGGTTTATTCGGCACACTACCTGTCGCAGGTCCATCAGGTCAGCAATCTCATCCTCAAAACTCTTTCCATCTTCACTGTAGTGCTCCAAGATAAAGTCCTGTGAAAATCACATACAAATCAACATCTGCAAATAAAACAACTTTTAAACCAGTTGCTGTGGAGTGTTTTGAGGCTTTCTGGTTCCAGGGCAGCCTTCCTCATAAACTGCTCAACTAAGTCACATGGTTCCTACACAGAAGCCAAACCCTGCTGTGATTAGTAGGTTGATGAGAACTGTCTTTCTGTCAGAGTCAGCCAGATGCAAGTGACGCCTGACTATTAAGACTGAGGTGTGTTTACAGCCATAAGTGGAGTAGCATTTACTTTGTTAAGAGGTACTGAAACTTTACAAGGTAGGAACACCTCTCACGAGACCTACCAAGAAACAAACAGGATGCCGCCCCGCATAAACATGCCATCATGGCTTCCTCACATTGGGACATAGCTTCAGCATAACTCAACTAGTCTCAATTACTAATGACCCACTTGTGATTTAAAAACAAATCTTTTTATAGTTGAATGATGCATTGTTCCTGAATGAACACTCAATAGGTATAAAGTAGTGACAGCTGTACAGGGTGTGGACATTATGACCCAAATATCTAATGAGAGGACACTTATATTGTGAAGCACCGAAAGTACATTCATACTGAAAACACTGCCTACCAATGTGGGTCAAATTTGAAGTATCTGTAGCTGCTGATCCAGATATCTGTCACAACCCTGTTGGTTAATTTTGATGGATAGCCATTCTTACTTGTATATGAAGATAGTTTACATTAATGTTGTCACAATGTTGTCGTTTCAATTAACCAATGAGCCAAATGTCAAAGTGGTATTTTAGGACAAAACTGGATGCTTCAGCTGCTTCATATTTTCATATCAAGGTGAAACTGCAGCTGTGTCTCCTGTACCTTGAATGGAGTCGAGAAGTCCACCTCTTTTGTCTCCTTCAGACCAAGCGCAATGAGGGGAATGTTTGCTGTTTCCCTGTAAGCCAAACAGAAAGACAAATACTTACATAAATCAGCTATCTTATGATCAATACAATACAACACACGATAGCATGACAGCAGGGCCTTTTATGTCAAAGCAATATTGTAGTGTATTTGCAAAAAATAAGGAATGTAAACAAGGTCAAACAGAAAAATCTCATAAATATACTGATGCAATAATAGGTCAGTGGTTAAGACAAGCAGACTCTAAGGTTGGTATAAAATATCAAGCAAGAAACTGCCTTTGACTACAGACCAAGCCTTGTTAGGAATATCATGTCAACAATTCAGCCAGATTAGTAAATGATAATGTGTGTCGTGGTACCAGTCTGATCACACTAGCAACAACTTTCTTGCTTGAGAAAGTTGACAACTCAGTTTAATCTTTAGCGTGGTTTCATAGAAGAGAAGTCAGGATGAGGCAGATGGTCATGTAAACACACTGCGGATTTAACAGAGTTAGGATTTAAAGGTGAATGAGGCCCACAACCTTCTACACAACTCTCTGCTGATTAATCATTGAGGAGTTGCAGCTCAATAATGCTACTGAAACTTTCTTTCAGCCATTTAGCAAAGCAGGCTTTTGCCCGATATTATTTTAACCCAGCAAACAGTAAACAGGGGGTGCCATAAAACACCAGGTTCTGCTTTGATCTCAGCTGTAGCCATAATGGTTTGGAATTTCTCTAGCGGTGTGTACTTAGAGGTCCTTGTTACTGACAGATGGAAAGCAGGTTCAGCTTGTTATCAGAGCTGAGGAAATATAACCTGACAGATACCTGCTGCTGATCGGAGAGGGAGACTATAAAAACTAAACCCTCCCCCACACTGAAAGCAGAATAATGAGGTGTTACTAAATAAATCACATATTTTAAAAAAAGTTACTTATGAAACTGCTTGACCTTTAAGCTATATAAAATAGCTTCCAAGAAGCACGACAGTGACACTAACTTCAGTTCCAAACACCCAAGGTCAACTTGTTAAATCTGTCTTATACATAACTTTCTGAAGCAGACAGGTAGCACCATCTTTTCACTACACAAGACATCAGAAGCACAGTGTTCAGAAAAACAAGTCCTCACACTTATTCATCACTTGATGATAAGACAGCATTCCTCTTGCATACTGGCTCTGTGAATCACAGAAAGTCTCATTCATCAGTAACAGAGACAGAGCAAGATAGAGACTGCAGTATAATCCACGAGCACTTGTAGATGAGATCATTCTGGGCTTTTCTCTGGTTTGGCAAAGGTAGCCCTGTGGGGGATGAGGGTATCTGTTTTGCAGGGAGTCTGAAATGCTAAAAGCCTCTCAGATACTCACTCCTCCACCCCACCCCCACACACACGCGCGCACACACACACACGCACCTACACTTACTTTTACACACGCACCTACACTTACTTTTACACACACACACACACACACACACACACACACACACACACACACTAACACACACAAACACACTGTGTGCAAGACATGGAACAGACCACTATTGCTGCAGCAGTCAAGAAAAACTGTCCTTTTCACTACAGATAGCCCAGCATGCTTTTAACTCATTTAAAGTATCAGAAAACTGCTGACTCACAGATACAGAAAACATCCCATTGTTGGTGGTTTTAAGGCTATTGCAAGATGACTTCTTAGCCCCACAGACTCCTATGAGAGTTGATTTGTGGCTTGTGTAACTTAGCAACAGGTTGACTTCAGTAGGTACTGATCTCCCACTAGATAATATGAGTCAGACATGGGAGTCTGCTTCATAGGAATCCTGTAAATGGCAAGTTGAGGTTTTACTGTGGATAACTTTGGTAGTTTCAAATTACAATACTACAGATACAGCTACCGTTCAGCAGACACAGTGCGAATTATAATCATGTTATTAGTATAAAGATAAGTTTTATCTGAATAATTCTTAATTACTTAACTATTCCCCCTATTTATTACTTGATTCTTAAAAAATGACCAACCAGTTTTCAGAGGTCGTAAAAGCTGAGCATGTGATCTCTTTAAAGTAACCTTGAATAATACACAAGAGAAAACTATTCTTTCTATCCTCTCTCGCATGGCAAAGTTAATGAAGCGGCCTGTAGTGCTGACATCTTTATTCTGGTGTGTCACTGGTCATCACTTCAGCTCTGCTGATTCAGCACCTCTATAGGAAAGACCAGTTTGTTTTCCAAGGAACTGAACAAACATTTACTATATCACAAAGCACAGACCACGTAACATTTTGGTACTGTGAGCCAAACTGAATGAATATTACACACATAAAAGTGTATAATAAACATGATGTTTACCAGTGCCAATGAGTCCTTGTTGTATTTGTCCGAATACTTGATAAGCCTAACAAGACAGTACATAGTGGTACTGTACAGTAACTAGCTCTTGCGTTTTCATAGGGTGGTTTAAAGAGAGCACACTAACAAATGTAAGTCACATGTACTGTGCCAGCTACACAGACCATATGTGCTTCTGTTAAGCATTACCTCATGCCAAAAACCAGCTGAATCTGATCTGAGTGACAAACAACCTCATAAAGACGCTATTCAAAGGACAGTGGACTGCTGGGAAAAGCATCGAAAGGTGAGGAGAGGTTTTTTGTTTCTGTACTTAAGACTGAGGTAGTATTTCAGGCTGAGAGGAGGAGGCTAGTTCTCTATTGTGGCTGTACCACGTTGTCCTGCTGAGGCACCTGGTAGGAAGTGACAGGGCAGAACTTTCTCAACATATCCAGTAATCCCATGTACAGATTACCTGTACACCAGTATGTATGGCCTTTTGTGTATGTAGTTATGTGAATATGATGACGTGAACACCTTGGACTTTGCACATGTTTATTTTCTTTTTATTTGAATTACAATAGCAGACATGTGATGGTGGTATTCAAGCCTGCATATTGTCTATGTACGGCTAAGGGAGGAGGTGTTTCACTAGAAGTCTGATAAGAGGCTCACAGGTGGATGCTTGTTTCAGCCTCACTCCATGTGACAAAGGACACTTGGGACTAAAGTGTGCATTGAAAGACTGCAAATGAATTTTGGGAATGTTCATATTGTTGTTGTTTTGTTTCTGTGAGCAGGACACCAACTCCTACACAGATACAAACAATCTATAGGTAACATTGTCAGTTAAATCACTGGATGGAACACAAAATGCTGTTGCTGTGCAGACAGGCAGCCTAATTAATTAAAACCAGTTAAAGCCTCTTGGTCTGTACAGCATTGAGACCCTGTAAGCCAAACAAACTAATCTGGCCTTATTGTATTGCCAACACAAGTTGGCACTTTTGGTTTTAGAAGGTCGTCTGCAGATTTATCAGATATCACAAGAAAGCTCTAACAAGGTCTGCAGTCCATTCAAAAAAATCCCTACAAATGTTTTAGAATGAGAAGCAAACAGCCTGGAACCACTTACAAAAAACACTCAAACTCAGTGTCTTTATACCTTTATCTTCTTTTAAAAATATGGTGAAGCAACTATTTACCGAGTCCTGTACCTGCTTTTAGTGTATTTTATCTTCAAAGCCTTTTATTGTTACGTTTTGTTTGTGTATTGTTTTTTATGGATGTATTGTATTTTCTGCTCTGTGCTGCCTCTTGGCCAGGTCGTTATTGTAAATGAGAATCTGTTCTCAATTAACCTACCTGGTTAAATAAAGGAAAAATAAAATAAATAAATAAATCAGCAGCTGAACCAATAACATTTGCGTCAATGACCCTCAGAACCTTTACCACAGGCACCGCCATACAACACACTAGTCACCCACTACCTCCCTTCCCTGCCTATCGTTTTATTGCTCTGCAGTGTTTGTTGTCATGGATAGTATGACCTGCTCTACAAAAGTGTGTGTGTTGTGTGCTGTGGTTTGTGTGCATGGTAATGTGCATATGTATCATACATGTATAAGTTTGTTTATAGTGTGGTGCATTAGTGGTGCGCGCGTGTGTCTGTGTGTGCGTGTCTGTGCACATACACGCTAAGGCAGATGGGTTCTATATGTCTAAGGTGTTCTTAATAAGAAGAGCCAGCTGGAAGCAGACATGCTTCAATCGAGGGCCTCCAAGTAGTTGTAATTTGCATTATTGTATAAAAAATATTTAAATATTTTTTATATTCATCATCTCTCTCACCCATGCACTGGACTATTTGTTTTTATTTATCCAAGTGATATTGTTTATGAAGCACCAGCTTTTGAGCCCCTTTCAGACATGTGACATGGAGCATCGCTGCTTTATCAGTCACTTGTGCTGGAGAGCGCCACGATGCATATGCAATATTTTTCATTCACACGAGACTAGTCACTATACCAAATGATGTCTAATTCATAATAGCGCCATGACAGACTGAAACTAAAACTAATAGCAGTCAATCAACGTGTCCAAATAACTAACAGTGCAGTTTATTTCTGATCTCCAAAACAGTGAAACTTAAACAACCTCAAACAGAGGACTGCTGCAATGTACAAATTATTTAACTGCAGCTGATAAACTGTGATACTGTGATGCAGCTCACCTGTCTGAGGTGAAGAACAGTTCACAGTAGGACCTGCTGTCAGACCCTGATCGGGCCTTTCTCTATGTGAGGAATAATTTCCTGGCTTGGACTGATCCACTCTCCATGCTCTCTCTGTGATTATTTATAATTTAATTTAGTCTGTCTGTGTCTGTTTTCATCTTGGTAAGTTTCAATATTATGGACATTTTATTTTGTTGCCTAATAGGTGTGACGCTGAGAGCAAAGTGGGTGAGAAAGGTATGTTGTGATTTTGGCACACAAACTGTGCATTAAGCATCTCTGTGATGTTTTTAGATTAATTTGGATGTTGAAATGCATAAAAAATCCTCCCTTAAATCAATTCATACAACTCAAAGTACAGCTGCTTGTGCGTGTCTATCCGTTAATGTGATTGTTTAGTTCAGACTTGTGCTGTGTTGAACATGATTTGGAAATGTTACTAGGTCCAACCTAGTAACTTTGCCAGTGTGCCTTTTACAGAGGGGTCACCGAGTTGCACATTCAGACATGAAGCCAACAAGCTAAACTGCTGTCAGATAAATAGAATGGAGTGCATGTCTGAAGGGGCTTTATAAACCTCTATGTTTCCGTATCAGCCATTCAATTCTTTGTGTCTTATAAAGGCTTTGACACGTGACTGAGACAATGATGTATCTTCATGATATACATACTGCATTTTCATCCACACCCTATCAGCCTGGCTTCTATAAAGAAAGAAAACATCAGCACCTATCACTGTCACTCACACCCATACAGTACACACCCGGCCATCAGACTGACTGAGAGAAACCTTTGGATGCTTATCTTGGTTTGCATGCAAGTGCAGCACGTAATGCAGTCTCTGTGCATTGTGTCAGAAAAACCTGTTAGTCCAGCTGAACAACAACAAACTTCTGGCACTTTGTCTTCATGCTTTTTGTAAGTCCCTCTCTCTCTGTGTTCTACATCCCTCTTTGCTCTATTCCTCTGTCATGAAGCCTCTTTCATCTGAAAGAGTGCATGGTGACTTAAGTGAAGAGTGTCAGAGCCATCTGGCAATCAACACTGTACGTCTGTAATTTAGGGTTTAGATCTCCAGATTGAGAAATTATTTCCATAGTGAGAAGACCTTGACAAGTCCTGACTTTGGGGGAGAAATGAAAATAGCACCAGATGTAATTTAAAGTTAAGGATAAACTTAAAGAATTTCAGAGGGCCAGGATATGGTGACCTTATTTGACAAGAGAACTGGTGCCATAAACATTTGCATCTACAGTAAAAAGCTCTGGCACCTGTGTGTGCACTTTAACAACCTTTAAATAATCTGAAACTGGTAAGTAATTACATTCTATTATCTGCAGATGCATTGCTACGCTGTAAACTGTTAGCTGTGTGGCTAAGAGAGTAGGCCACAAAAAAAGCTGGTTGAATTTCTTTTATTCTACAAATGTCCTAAAGATGCCAGTATAGCAGGTGCAGACACCTTTACGCTGCTTCAAGTTCACATTTCCTCCTTTTTATGTTATGATAGCTTTAATATTTGGAATCAGCAGTAGTAAACGAGGGAGCAGCAACATTTGCACTTACTGGGTGTTCTGGTAGACCTCTACTGAACTGTTGAGTCCTTCCAGCTGTCCCATGAGTAGCTGCAGGTTGGAGTTAACATAGCTCAGCTCCAGAAGAACCATTTCTTTAACCTTGTTGTTGGATGTAGCCCTGCACACAGGAGAGATAGTAGAGAGGGAGAAATTCAAAGAATGGAAAAAATAAAGGGTAAAAAGGTGAGGCAAATAAACTTAATAAATCCTTTGAAATAAAGAGGGAGGACAAGAAGAAAAACACATCAGCTTAGTTATTAACCACTCTGCCACAGCAAGTGTGTGTCTCTTGGTATTCTGGACCACAAACCTGCGTCACTGTGCCCCGCTGTGCACTTGATTTACTCTCCAGCACACAACCAAGAACTATGAATCATAGCCAACAGATGTTTCACACTATGCTTTTGCCACCACACTAAGAGGACTGACGTTTCAGTCCAGATACATCAGAGGTCCATTAGCATGTGCTTAAATCTGGATCCCCAGACTTCCCTGCTGCTTAACAGAAGAAATCACATCAAATGTGAAAGAAAACTTCCTGGAAACAAAAAATAAACACCTTCTAATTTCTACTCGTCATCAATTTCCATGTCACTATCTGTCACAATATTGGGTAATTTTTAGATATTTTACTGCTTATTTCTGAAAAAAGTCAGTACATTTTTGTTTTAAGGTAAGGATGATCATGGAACCAGATTTGCTATGTGTATATCATTGTGGGCTCAGGATTCACTGCATGATCGAGATAAGTCTCAATTGATACCTGTGATGGGTATGGGTGGGTGTGTGTGTGTGTGTGTGTGTGTGTGTGTGTGTGTTAACCTTCATGAACAAAGTGGCAGGATCCTTTGTAATGCAAAATTTATGTTACATTGTCGGTGTGTGAAAACACAACCTGCCATTTACATGCATCCATGGTGATACAAGATAACACACACACACCTCAGTGGTCTGGCTTATCAGTGTGTAACAGTGAATCCTTAAATGTTCTCTGTCAGCCTCGGCTGCTGATGGGCCTCCCACAATGCACTGAGCTCCTCGCCTATCTTTCACTCTCCATGCAATTATATACCACGACTGCATGCCATTACCTTTGTGTCTTCCCTCTCTTGTAGTTCGTGCTTTAGCCTCTCTGTCCCTCTCTGAACATTCTGCAGGTGTCTCGAACTAATCTGATACGCTGTAGCTGGCTTCACCAACGAGCCCAGTGTTGGTTTTTATATTGTGTCTAAATGCTAATCTTTTCTCTCCTCTTAACCTTCACCCAAAGCAGTCGAGGCAGACGGCCGCCCACCCTGAGCCTGTTTCTGCCAGAGGTTTCTTCTTGGTAAACAGAAGCTTTTCATCTTCACTGTCACCAAATGTCTGCATATTGGAAAATTGTGTGTGTGTGTGTGTGTGTGTGTGTGGGGGGGGGTTCTACAAAATTGTAACACCTTGACCTGACTATGTAGACAACATGTTATGGTTGACTATTCAAATAAAGTTTAATTGAACTTAATTGTAACTAATGGGATGCATTCACATGTGCACATCCCCGCCCTAAACCTGTTTGGCTACAGACGTTTCAGATCCTGTCTCTCTGTCACCTGATCTCTCCCTACCTTGTAATTACAGGGGATGCCAGTTTTTAACACAGGTGACATGTGATGAAGTGCTGCCAAGCAGGAGCTGAAAAAATCAGTTTGACTTAAGGGGAAAGAGCTTAAACAAGACCAGGTTTTAAACCAGCATAGGTGACTCTGCTTTGCACTTCAAGTAAATAATATTATCCAACAGTTTTGATTTTTGTTAAGTTACAAAGGTCACAGTGGTAAGAAGAAAGGCAGGGGACTTGCCATGTATGTGAATGAGAGATGATGTAATGCTAGCAAGTTAGTGTAAATGAGCAGCGCTGCTCGAAGGATGTTGAACTGCTGGCGGTTGGTTTGCAGCCGTTTTACCTGCCGAGGGAGTTTTTCGCACGTCCTGGCAATTGCAGTTTACTACCCCCCTCCCCAGCTGATGCTGCAGCAGCCTGTGAACTCATCCATCGTTCAGTGTCCCAGCTGCAAACATCACACCCTCAGTCTCTGATTGTCATTCCAGGTTACTTTATTCATACATCGCTCTCTACCACTCTCCCCACATTCAGCCAGTATGTGGGCTGCCTAATCGGAGACGGTGGGGCCTTGGACCTGCTGTGTGCAGACACTGGGGATGCATATTACTTAGTTGTTGTTATTTTCTTGTACTTCCTATATTTTTGGATGCTGCTGTGGTGTGTAAATTTGCCCCAATGGGGGATCAATAAAAAGTATTCTATTCTATCTTTTGACTCCTTACAACACACACAAGCATAACCAGGATGTCAGATCCTGCTTAACAATAATACCACTGCAATACTTCCTTTTGGCCTGCCGAGGAGTTTCTAAGGAGGTTTGGTTTGGGGTAGAGGTGCTGTGGTTTGGACAGAATAGATGCCAGCCAGCCAAGACACTGTTATTAATATCCAATTTTAATATCTAATATCTTCCCATAGTGCGTGGGAATCAGACTGGAAACCATCAAATGCAGTTTAACCAAAGTTTCTCTTCTCCTCTTGACTGGAAAAGCTGGTTTGTGCCTTTAGCAGAATGACAGTTTGCTCTGTTTCTCCTCAGGGTCTTTGATCTGAAGAGAGATAGCTGGTACTGACAATGACTGAAGGTGCATAGCAATACAGATATAATTACTCTCTATTACACAAAGCTTTAAAGTGAGGCTCTGACTATTTTAAACAGACATTTAAATGCATGCTTCATGAAAAGTACTATTTCTGTTTCCTTAGGAAACTGTCCTCTGTTGCTCTAGAGGAAGTACCGCTTAAAAAAGTTAAGAAACTGACACTTGTTATACATACATAGACTTTATCAGAGGCAGGGATGGTGTGGTCTGCTAAGTTGCATTACGGTAATGCAGCGTTTTTATGATTCATACCAAACAGCAACCTCTGTCACACAAACTGCAGTTCCTTAAATGTCCACTTTAGGCTGTCCCCAAAATCAAGCCAACCCTTATAGACATAGTCATGTTAAAATACCCAACTTTACAACAGAAAATGATATGTACGAAAAACTGGTAAGAAACAGCTTTGGTCTAGCAGCCAGGACTAAAAATGAGGATATCTTGGCTGCTTTTAATTTCAACTAATCTTTTAAAAATCTGTCTCACATCCTCCCAAAGTCATGGAAGGGCAATATTAAAATCTATTCAGTGCTCCTTTAAAACACTTCAACTGACTTGTTTGTGTTGAATGAAGGTTTTTTTTTCCTGTAACTTAGTCAGTGGAGAAGAGAAGAGAAGAGAAGAGAAGAGAAGAGAAGAGAAGAGAAGAGAAGAGAAGAGAAGAGAAGAGAAGAGAAGAGAACTGGTCTAACCAGACAGACTCCACCTGTTGCTGATAGAGAGAGGAATGCAGAACAGGAGAGTAGAAAAAAGAAAAGAAAAGAAAAAAGGTGGGTAAGGGAATTGATTGCATCAACTGACACAACAGAAAGACACACACTCACTGCAGCAAATATCAATGTGACAGCATCTGTCTTCTGATGTGACAACCCAGGTGGATGTCCTGGTGAGTAGGCTATCATGACAGAACTACAGTCAGACTGTGTAAAACTTAAGGCCTTAAAATAAAGCTGAGAGCATACCTGAAACTCAGAAATGCATCCAGGCTGTTCTCTGGGCTGTAGCTGGTTGGGAAACAGGGACACACTCACACACACATTGTCCGTGTGTCCCTGGCCCTGGCTGGGCAGACTATGAAGTACTAGAGGAATGTGAAAGCTTCTGAGGCTGACAGTAGGCTTAGACAGGCCAAATGCACACACAGACAGATACTAACCCATACAAACACAGCACACACAGCGGTATCTTCCCTCACCTGACTAATCTTTACACAAACAGGAAGAAAGATGATCCCACAATGGCAGAGAATGCATCTACAGTCTGTCAGCTTCATGCCTTTTGTTTCTCTTATCAAGAAGCTTAAGTTTCTTGACAAGGGAAACAGTTTTTGACAGGCGACCCTAAACGGTTCACTAAACTCGACATCAACCTGACTGTTATAACATAAACGATCCCTGCCAAACCCCCAGAGAACACAAGGTGGACACAGTAACAGGAACAACTGTATAATCTAATGCAATTAAACACTGTAAGCCTGAAATAAACACTGCTTTACTAAAGCCTATGACTTTTATTTCTGTTGACATTTTTTTCAGAGAGTTGCTGCTTCAACTGTGGAAAACTTCAGTTTGAGTTTTTCCTATTTTTTTTTCTACAACAAGGCATGAAATAATGACTTATGGCCCTCTTATTTTGCACACAGCAGGCAACTCACAGCTGTCAGACTTGTTTTTTTCCAGTATATCAGGTTTTGGTGGCTCAACAATTAACAGCATTCATGGAAGCACACCGTCCTCTGTCCTGACTGAGACCCAGATTGGAAATAAAACTAAGAAGCAAATCTATAAAGTTACAAATGCAAAATGTACGGCTCTTCTCTCTTTTACCGTAAGAAACGTACAACTTATAATCCTGTCAATACATGTTAAGAAGATCTGCATTTGTCTGAATGAGGCAGCAGTAACAACCATGTTCTACTGACATTAAAGGCACTTGACTGGAACCCTGACACCTGTACACTGGATTGCTAGACTGATGGAGCACCTGGCTTGGTGATAAGAGAAACACAATGAGTCTTAGAGCTGCTTACTACTATGTCTTTCTCTAAATTGAATCCACCTTTTAGCTCAGAAGGAAAAGTCTAGTCTGTACAACAGTTACTGTAGGTATGGCATAGAAAAACTGAATTTATAAAAGACACTAACATTTAATCAAAAATGGTGGCAGGACGCTCAGTTATTCAGTCTAATCAAAACAAAAACTCCAAACTATTGTGAGGTTATTACAATAACTCTTTGTTTTCAGGCTATGTGGAATGCTCCTCTTCAAGACTGTTATCACTCAATATCATCAGCCCCTGTGTTGTTTCAAGTCTCTCCAAGAATCTATGGCAGCCCATGACAGAACAGTGAAAGAGGAAGAGTCAAACTTGTTAACATCAACATATAGACTGGAGGTTTCTATTGTCCCATGTAGCACAGTGACATAACTAACCAGCAATACTGATGTTGCCTTATGTAACAGATGCAAATCCACAACTGTGTTTGTATGTCTGTATTTCTCTGATTTCAGCCCATTCTGGACTTGTCCCTGTTGAATACGTGCATTTTAGAATAATTCCACAGTCTCACTTTCAAAAATTGTCTTTCTAGCAAATTAATATCTTAATAAGCATACACCTAAATGTACAGCGTGTCCATATATTATTTTGTATGCATGATTCAGTTTTTTCTTACTTCAGCAAATTCTCAGCTCCAGCCCTCATTCTCATCTGCTTGATGATCTGTTGGTTCAGACTGGCTCGCTTATTCTGCAGTTTGCTTCGTCCGGTCTGTGCGAATGGGTTGCAGCCCTGAGACAAGGAGAACAAAATGTCAGCAGAAGATAAAATGTTCTTCAAAATGCATTTATGTTAAGTAAAGTAGAGGAAGTGATTCGTTAGATAACAATCATGAAATAACTCCTTAATTTCCTCTAAGTACATTTTGTTATTTCTCAATGATTTATTTCCAGAAAAAAACAAAATTGTTGTCCAACTGCAAGCAATGACTCTACAGGTGATATCACAACTGATTGAACAGGTGTCTTTGTGCTCGTTCAGGGCATTCAGAAAATGTTTATTTTGGACAGGTTTTTTGGCTTTTAAAGTTTTTTTTGTGGTGGTTTGTTTTTAAAGCTAAAATTCAATTGTGTTTTTTTTCTTCTTTACTCCCAAATATAAAAGTAAAAGCCAATCTAAGTTAGGTTAGGAAGGAGCTGTACCCAACTGAAACAGATGCTCTCCCTCTCCATGTTTACACGTAATGCCCTGTATGTGGCTGTACTGTGTGTCCTTGTTCCTATCACGCCTACAAGTGTACCCACCTTGCTAAGTCAACAGTCTGTCACTCATAATAGTACAGATAAACTGGCTTTAAGCATTCATACTGACTGACTCACAGGCCCAGCACAGGTGTGGTCTATACTTTATTTTGGATGGCAACAAATGGCATGATGCACAGACAGCAGTCAGCACAGTAAAACCAGTTAGTTTGCAGTCATTAGTATGGGCCTCTTTGACATTGTCACTATTTGTCTTAGCAAGTCTGAGGTCAGCCACAGAATGAGCTTCAGTTTCTGTATTAGCAGCAGTCGGAGGTCTCAGGAAATGAAACAATATTTTTTTGGAAACACAGAACAGGAAAAAAAAAAACAAAAAAAAAAAACACTAGTAGATATAAGTAAATACGCTGTTTTAAATTCCAGGGCTCAAGTTTATTTTTGACACACATGCATAGCAGGAGATTCACTGACTTGTGCTCAGCAGAGCAAACAGCCTGTCTCCACTGAAGATTTAGGAGGTGTAATGTAATGTGTATTGCCTCAAAATGAGAAATTAGTTTTATATCACTCCTCTGTTATCCAGAGGGAACTGTTTGTTTTCTTCTTTTTTATCTAACAGATATACATTGCTAGAGGCAGTAAAACAGATGTGTCTAGCTGAAGCTAAATTGTAGCCCCTATAACTGGTTAGGCATTTTAATCTAGTCAGACAACAAAGAATGGAAACTTCAAGGAAAAAGATGGTGACCCAATAGCCGAACAGTTAGGGCACATGCCACCTGAGTCCCTGGTATAACGCTTAGCTGGCACAAACATTTGCTGCATGTCACTACCATACCCTCTTTCCACTCGGTTCCCATCTCTCTGCATTGTCAAAAAAAGGCAAAAACAGATGGCCAAAAAATAATACAAAAGGAAGAATTCCAATTACGCAAACTTATGGTTTTCAAAGGTTTCCCTATCACGTGATCAACAACAGATGCACACTTTTGATGGCTTCTTGGGAGAATTGATCATTTACAGAGCATGGGGAAAAAGCACATACATATACTTTATTTATTTAGACTACCTGTAAATGGGTAAGCAGAACAGAACAGAGGTATGCTAAAATGTCCGTCTCGAGTACAAATTTTAACCCGGCAGGTCAAATTATTGCAACCAGGGTCACATTTAATATAACACTTAGTTACAGAATAATGTGCCCTTTAACTACCCTGCTGTAGTCACTTGATTGATCCTGGGCAAACACTCCTGACCTGAAAGTGTAATGATTAACCATTTATACAAATGAAATCATCAATATTTACACAACAGAGCAGTATCAGGGTTGTTAGGGGTGTGGCATGGTGGGGTTGAACGTAGCTATTTATTGTATGACGTGAGTGTGGCGGCGTGAGGCGCTGTCACGTCAGACATTTCATTTAAAGCAGGGTGTATGTGTACGGACATGGGAGTGTCAAGTGGCTGATACCAGCCATAACAGTGAGTTCCCAATTTTTGTATGTTGAACACAATGAAACATTCCACAGCCATGATCTCAGTCCTGTGTAGCAACGCCGTTTTAATCACGTCACCATCTCATCATCAAAATTCCATATTTCTGACAGCCTGATACCTTGTGGAGAGTCCAGCTAGGAAAATTCTGACTTTTTATGGTGTTTTTGAAAGTATTATCCAGTGCAGACCATGATTTGTTATACTTTTAGTTCATCTTTGCAGAACTACCCTGACTTTAAAAAAAATAAAAAATAAAAAAAAAGTAGTGCCCTGGTCCTTGTTACTGTGTGACCACGATTTACTTATAAGTATTCATTGATTTTAGGGATGAAATATTTTTATTGCACTTTCACATATGAATATACAGAACACTGCTATCACCTCCATGTTCTGCTACATTCCCTGCATCAAAGTAAGACTTACATAAAGTTCTTTTTAACCTGAATTCAGTGCATCTCCAAGAGCAAAATTGTACCCAAAACACCCAACTTACTGAATATCTGCTTACAGACAGTGCAATTTACCAATGTTCTGTAAATGCCTCACATGCAGGCTGCCTTAGACACTAGTCAGGTGGTTGTGCACAGAGCAGCTTCTGGTCTCCCCATTCAATTACTACAACGCACACAAGTCATAAGGGTATGTCAAAAAAAATTACCCTCAAAAGCAAGTAATAAGTATGACATATCCAATGTCCGGTTACCCAAGTGGAAACAAAGTGATTTTATCTACATGAGCTGTTTTCCATAAGTGGAGCATTTTTAATGTCTATCGTATCCACTTAATTGTGGAAAGCCAAAATCGTGACCTACACTGTGCTACACAGATCATTTGGAATCACATGGAACTAAACCCGTGACCTTGGCCGCTAGTCCTGGTATTGCCTTTACTAATGAGTCGAAAGAGAAATCGCACCCCTCCCATTACTGCCGTGCTTTCAACAGTGCCTCTTTTCTCTATGACTGTACAAAACACTATTAGAGCAACACACAAAGACAGTTGAGTCCGTCAAGCAGCAAATCAGTCTGCTGTTGTGTAGCTGAGGCTTCACAAGGAACATGTGGAGCAATGGAGCAGTGGTTCATGGGACACTTGGTTTATACAACTGGTGATTAACGCTGGCAACTGGCCGGGAAGAGGCTTTAGCCACGACCCAGTTATGGCAGCAACAGACTGAGTGTACTCACTATGTCTGTATTCATGTCTCATTATAATAATGTGAATGATAAGCTGAAATCATGTCCCTAAATAACTCAACATATTGAATCCTTCCCAATTACAGTAGGGATTCCTTGACAGATTGCCCAAAGCTGAGTGCATTTCTTTCCATTCAAGAACGTGACCTACTGTAAAAGACTACATTTGATCCCAGCTGCTCTCTCATATGTCTTTTTTCCAATACGAACCCTGCTGAGGAAATCTAAGTGTGTCTCCAAGTCAAGGGAGCTCGTCTGGTTTGTGAAGCAGGACACATGTTGTCAATTTGTGTCTGTGGTCTGGCTGAAGACAGCCCCGGGCCAGATGCTACGTCAATGCTCTCTCTGGCCGAGGAGGATGAGGAGAAGAAACATGCCGATTCGGCTTTTTGTTCTGCCATCTTTCCATCCTACAGCCATCCAGCCGGACCTGGGCCAGCTGGAGGTGAAACAGTGGACGGCTGGGAAGGAAGCCCTGAACCACAACAGCTCCCTGGAGCACCAGTCCAACCCAGTGAGGCCTTGTAAATCATTAAACTCATTTTCACCCAGGAGAAAGAGGGACACAAAAATGGAAGCAAAGATCATCATAGCTCCACTTGGTTAAAATTTGACCAAGAAGTTTCCAAATCTCTTTAACATGACAAAATGCAGAGATGCAGAACTCGCTGCTTTGTGGTTTCAGCGAATGTGCAAGTCTTCTAACATTGAGAAAGGCAATGAGAGTAAAACCGAACAATGCTTAACGCCGAGAAATATGGCGGAGAGAATCATGAATGAGCGAAGCTCTACAGAGTGTGTTACAGTAATAAAGGAAATATTTGGTCATTGGGGTATTAGGCTCTACCGTCTCCCACGATGTCCTATGGCAGTGCCAGAGCCAGGCTCCTACTGACCTTTCTATAGACACAGGAAGTGCAGCACAGAGCCTAAATCCAGACAGCGTTCAGGAGGGGATTCGGGGAGATTGAAAGACACAAAGGCTGTGCTCAGATGCCCATCTAAACAAGCTTGTCTGTAAAAACACTCCAGTTGAGGACACCAGTACAAATGCGGAGGAATGAGACACTGACCACAGCATGGCAGACAGAGAACTCAGTAAAAACACATTAGATAATCACTCAACCACTGCCAACTGCCTTTCTCAGTGCCTCAAAGTAGACAAACTCAGAGCACTTGCAAATGTTACAGTCATCGGTACACAGAGTGTGAAACTGGTTGGAGAGGTTTCTCTATAGGTCCTGATGCAATGAAAGCTTATTACCTCAATGACTGTCCCTGTACTGTGACAGTTCACAAGCTAATTTACGTGATGAAAAGCTTCCATTTCAACCTCACATGCTCAGCTAGGAGGATACTCCTCTTATCTGAGTCACAATTTAGATAACTGCATTTCAGTCAAACCTAGCTGACGCTGTTCACACATCGCATGTGTGCGACTGTTAAGATGCAAATAATTGATCCACAGGTCAGGGCTTTAGTGGGCTTACAATGTCACATTAAACAAACAATGATAGTCTGTTATGTAGAAAACAGACCACTGAGGAAACAAACTTTTTTTTTACTTGGGCAAAGCACGTCCGCCAAACTATCTCTGGGCAGTAGGCTAATCTGACCTAGTTTTATCAGGCATGGCCTTAGAGCTCTCAACTGTCAATCACCGCCACACCTCTGACAACACACAGGGAGCTGATAATGTTAATAATGGGATGTTTGGTCACGGCAGCCCTTTCAGTCTCTGTCACTCCAGGGAGTGGAGGAGATACAGCTATTCTTAGAGCAACACCCACACACACCTGAGGCTGACAGGGCTGTGGCTCCTGCTGCTGCTGACATATCAGGAGGTGCTGCTTGTTACCTGGAGAGACTGAAAACAGGCTGCTGTGTTCAACTTATTAATGTTTTATTATATCTAATACATTATAAAACGTAGGTTGTACTTGGTATTTAGAAAGTCTATCTACAAGTACCTAAGCAGCAACTACTAATGATATGTGGTGATGGACAGTCAACCATGTTCTACTGCCAGAGGTCTTTAAATGCGACATTAGCGGTGACCTGAGACCGTCCACACTAACTACCTCAAAAGCTCTAGGGAGAGCGGAAAAATGCCAGCAAAACCTAAAGTCATTATTTTTTCAGCTTGAGCAGTAAAGGTGTGACAGTGTACATGGCAACAGGTGGACACCAACAGTTTTTTGCTCCCAGAGCGAAGCGTCGCACACAGAACTCACCTTTCTGAAGTAAGCGCTGTCTCCTCCGCTGTCCTTGATGCCGTTTGGTAGGAGCGTGTCTGTCATCCTGAAGGTAATCCTCCGCCGAGCTCTCACAGAAAACAGGCGAATTAAAAGTGAACAGAGCCTTTATTCCAACAGAGCTCTGCGGTACAACAGGTGAGGTCCTCCCTCCTCCAGCACTGAGTCTGTCTGCTGCTCTTCTCTCGGACTTTTCCAGCCCAAACCAGAAACTCCGCCCAAACTGAAAAAACAAAAAGGTAGGAGACGGAGCGGGTGGTGCGTTCACGGCCGGGAGGCGTCAGTGGACACCTGCCTAGTCCGGCTGAGTTCAGTGTGGTGTGGGTGTTCCGGGATAACGTGTTAACCTACTGTTTACAGTACATATTTATATAACATTCATTCCGTCTGAGTCACTAAAGTCACAGTCTGATGCAACAGCTAGCAAAGATAACGTAGCTTTTATGCTAATAACTGGCTGGTTTGATTAAAAAAAAAAAAACCGACAACTTTATTTAAAAAGTGCTATATATTAATTATTTTTACTAATTCAAGATGCAAATTAGCTCTATTTTTTAAGTGAACTCAGTTACAGAAAATAGATTTAGTGGTCATTTGAGCTCATACTTGATATTTTCAGAAGAAGGCTGTCCCTGTCCCAGACATGGCTCAACGTATTTCTAACAATCGTTAAGTTAAAAAGTCTTAAGTCTTCAGACAAATTCACATCCACCTCACCTAAGTCTAGTCTAATCAGTGTACCAAAATGTTCTGTCTTTACAAGAAGTCGATATGTCCAACACCAGTCACATGCACACAAAACTAAAGTCATTACTTTTACATCAGTAATAAATAGCAGGACGTTTACTATTATTCATTTTGACCCTGACAGAGCTCCCAGTAGTATGAGTTTAACACAGCACTCATTTCATCATCCACTTCTAATGGTGCTTCAGGCAAGTGGCAGACAGAACGCCAGTTCACCAAACATGCAAAATGACTGCTTAATGATCAGGAGCTCCTACTTCAATAATTCTCTAAACTTCCAGCACTCTGACATCAGGAAAAGGACATGATTGCTGTGTGTCTGTGAGTGTGATCACTTGATCAGCAATTAAACAGGAATTTAAGAAAACAAAAAAGATAGTAAATACCTAAATACCTCATACTTGTAATTTTGGTGCTGAGGATTTGTCTTTGGTACTAGCTATAAACCTGTTTAGGAGCTGCCAAAAATGAATTTGTGCAGGACAAACCCTGTTGTTGTATTATTGGAACAACTGTAATCATTCCTTCATTCCTTTTGGTAAATTTTGTGATAAGACACACCCACACATGTGCACACACTATATAAAAAGACACATAATCTTTTTTTCCCTAACTGTCTGACATTAACTCAGACTAAACTTTTCCTGTTTTAGGTCAGTTAGGATTACCAAAATTATTTATATTTGCTGAATGCTAGAATAATGAGAGAGATATTTTTTAATAGAATTTTTTAGTACTTTCTTCAAAGTCAGAAGTTTACATACACTATGATTGCAATGCCTTCAAACTATTTGAGAAAACCCAGATGATAATGTCATGACACGACCTCTGGCTTGGCTCCATCTAATGGAACACTTTTTGTATTACCTCTACTTTCCTGTGCAACAAGCCAGAGGGACAAAGGACCAGGTGTTCGGAATCACAATCAGCCGACTGCTCCAGCTGCGGCGAGGCGTGGCTTGTCACTCACTCTACAGACCTCATGCAGTATTTAAGATACCAGCAAGCCACAAGTCGGCGCCAATCGTTGTAAACACGTTAGTTTTGTGCTAATTTTTATGCTCTGCTCATACCTTGATTCCTGTTGTACCACTATTCTCCTGTGCTCCAGTTTCATCACGCTTGCTGCCAACTGTGTTCCACTCTTCTTCCCTGACTCCTCTTTGGATTCTTCTGGTTCCAGTTTTCCATATCCTGTGTCCCTCCGCTGAAGTCATTTGGTCCACCTCCGTCTCCCTCAGTCCAGTGTACCTGCATAGTCTCCAGCCTACTCAACCAAGTAGTATTATTATTAGGTTTTTATTTGTCGTAGTAAGTTTTGGATTCTAATTCGTAAGTATAGTTCGTTGTCCTTTCGAGGACATTTTGTGAAATTCTTTATAGTAAGTGCCAGTCCATTGGTACCTTTGTTCATATTTGTATTGGTGTTTAAATTGTGTATCATTGAATTTAACTGTTTGGTGGTCGAGTCTTTTAGAATAGAACTTTATTGATCCCTTTGGTGGAAACCTCAGGGAAATTTTGTCTGCGCCTGAGCCTTTGTGTGTCAAACTGACATGTCATGGCTTTGGAAGCTTTGACAGGTTAATTGACAACATTTGAGTTAACTGGAGGCACACCTGTGGATGTATTTTAAGGCATGCCTCAAACATACTCCTTCCTTTTGTGACAACATGGAAAATCTAAAGAAACCAGTCCTGTACCATAGACTGTATAAAAGATGGACGTAGCAACCGGCCCTGAAAAATGAAGCCAACCCAGAAGTGTCAAAAACCTACGTCCGCTAGTTGCTGGTTCCAAAAAGTCTTGGCTCCCATAGACTTGAATTGGAAAAGAAGTGATCACAGATCACAAAATACTGCATTCCTACAGCCCAGGTTTTTTTTCTTATTAGTTCTCATAATCAAATCCAGAGATCAGGTGGCCAATCTGAAAATAAATCAAAACTGATTTTTATTTTTTATTTTTTTTAAATTGTCAAAATTTTGCGTGGCTGGCTTCATTGACAGTCGGCAGCGACGATACAGATGAAGCGAGCAGAAGGCGGTAAATGTGGGCGGGCAGAGAGGGCCTGCCTCTCAATCCGTCTGACCAATC